CTCACCTGATGGTAAGTGACTACCGCCGCCCATGAACAACTGCAACACCAGGGGAATCGCAGATGCGTTACCGGAGTTTAAAAAGGAGCAGGCTCTATTCTTGAAGGTCCCTAAGTCGTATCGGTCCGGAAAAATCACTGGTGGTAATCGATTCCACATGGAAGTTGTGCGAGGGAGAAAACTTCTTCTAAATCGCACAGTGGTGGACCGCCAATCATCCAGATGATATGGATGGTATCGTGAGCTTAGTCACAATGCGATAGTGAAACTGAGCGGCTGGAATTAGTCCGAACAATTCCTCAGAGCACTCCCCGTGGTAGATGCTATAAAATACGCAAAGAGATACAACATCTCTACGCAGTGCCAGTGAGTCAAGCCGATCGGAAAGAACTCGGTCGTCGACGATTCGAACCGCTCTGCGCTGGATGCGGTCAAGTGGAAGGAGCTGGCACTGGGGTGCCCCGGCCCAGTGATGGGAACAGTATCCCATGTGAGGCCGAACCTGCGCCTTGTAAAGTTGCAAGCGGTGCGCCTGCATGAAATGCTCTGCTGAGCACGCCGAGGTTTTTAGAGACCAATTTGGCCTTCTCTTCCAAGTGACCACGAAACTGCACGTCACTCGATATGTCGACACCGAGGATACCCGATACTGGCTGAGGCAACAAGGGAAGTGCCTTGAAACTGAGGAGATACGACAAAGGGATTCTTTTTAGCGGTAAACTCGCAAACTTATACTGTGTTCTGTGAATGTGTTCATGCGTTTCCCCTCTGCACAGCCTTACGACATACGAAGTCTTGGGATCGGCTTTAAACAACTGAGCAGAGGGAGTGTTTACTACATCTATCCTCAATTACAGGCAACGCACCTGCAATTTCACTGGTGTTGCAGTTTTAAATGGGCGACGGTAGTCGCTTACCACCAGGTGAGCGGCAAGATCATTTGCCCCTCTTATATAAAAAAAAAATATTTTTCATTAAAAAAAATACTTCAATTTTATTTATATTGTTACGAGCTTGAGGTTCGAGATAATTAAAAACTGCCGAGTGAATTACCAAAATTGACTATTTAATTACACAACACTAATTACAACTTAAAATCACACTAATAATAAAACACAATCACTTTAGTTCGCAGTTATTTCGCTTCGAAGTATTCTCTTGTATCGCCAATTCAATACTGCCTTCGTCGTGGTCTATACCGGCCTTATATAGGGCCTCAGCTAGTTTCCAGAACTTTCTACTGTAGCGACATCTACAATGTTCGAGTACATATCGGTCCCGAAATTTCTGGAAGGATCTCGACTCTCCTAGTTCTGCTACTCGACACTAGAGGGCGCTAGTGTAACTAGTGTTGCCATGTACAAGACATTAATAGTGTCGCGCAACAATATGTATAGATTTATTTTTGTAGTAGGTACTTGGTGCTTAAATTTATATGTAAGTTATGTTTCTTTTTCTTCTTCGGCACTTAATTAAACCCGCTTATCATCAATAGGACTGTTCATTTAATAGGATAAGGGTGACAAACGAGCACACAGTCCACCTGATGATACGTGGTCGCTGTAGCCCATAGACATTTACATCTATCCTCATTGACGAATCAAAATGTAGATGCGTTATCAGAGGACTAAAATGAAATGCCTCTTCTTCTGTAGAAAGTGTCTCCGATTCTCTACACTCGCCATACGAAACACAGCAGCATTAAGCTGCTATTTAACGCTGGTATTTTGTGAGAGCGTGGTCCTGCCCCGGTCGAGCCGACCCATTCGTGCTACAACTATACTACTAACATAGCTGCAACATGGCTCTACCACGTATTGAGCTGTGTGCTCATTTGTCATCCTTATTCTAATAATACTTCAATATAAACCGTTTATATAACTACATCATATCTCCCGCAGGTACGTGGAGAATGCAGGCCAGTGCGTGAAGCCGGCGGACTGCTTCTCCGACACATCGGACGAGGATTATTTGTCGCGTATCATAGTTTACTAGATGTCAGTACAGGTTTAGACCAGCGCTCTAGGATAGGGTTGTCAACTATATATTATATCAACCACCAAACATTATAATAATATATATATAACAAATATTTTACAATTTTACTACTATCGATTAACCAACTACAGCAAATATAGTATTTTCAAGGCTATAACCTAAAAACATATAGAAGACAGCGACAAAGTAAGATAAAAACATATAGTATGTTTAAAATTATGGTTTTATTAAGTGGCGAAGCTTGCGAAGTCACTTATTGAATTCACGATGTCTGTTCGTCTGTCCGTCTGTCCCACGATTATCTCGAGAACGGTTTTGAATTTTCAAATTCTGTTTTCAGCAATTGATTACTGATCACCGAGACACCTGAACCTCCTATTTTGAAACTGATTGCTCAATCGCAACCGTTAGAAACCGCTACAAAGCTGATTGCTTCGCCACTTTGCTATACTGTTAGCTTGCTAGGTTTATTTTTAAGATTTTTGATATAGTATGTAAACTAAGATATATAAAGATATATATATATATATATATATGTATGCATGTGTATAATTCGCATTTTATGTTTTAGAATTATTTTTTGCTGTCTTGAGGTTTTATTCAACAGCCTTACGCTATAATCAGCCTGTATTATTTGTTGTATTCGGACCCCCAACATTTTTTTTAATTAAGCCGGCTTAACTTAAGTTTGCATAAATATAAAGTTAACCTTATTATTTAGGCGCGCCTTAAGAGTAACTCCGATCGTTTTAGAACCACAAGGCCATCAGCATAACCCGCTTTGTACGAAGGTCTGCCATCTTGTAAAATAATTGGTCAACCGCAACAGTCCAACAAAAATGGTGACAATACACCATCTTTTGGACAACCTCTGGTGGTTCCAATCTCGATCGAAGTTTGAAGTAGCGATATTTTCTGTTTGAGAGCAACGACCGCACCCACCCGGTGGCTCAAGTTCCCAATCAGCAGTCAAGTACTACTATCGAAGGAAGTTTTTTTTTTATTCCACCAGAGATTACACCATCCCTAGTGGCCGTTTATTAACAAAAATGTTACACATTTTTAATATAGTTTTGTTAACAAGTTCATGATTATTCTACAAAGACGGCTAATTACAAACAGCACTGCGATTTGATACAGTGGTGTTGGTTTGACCGTACGAGTAAGAATACCGTATGAAGGAAGTTAAACATCTTTAAGCGCGACTTGAGGGTAATTCAGATCCAGGGGTGTAGCTACCGCCGTATCAGCCGTATCAATGATACGGGGCCCCCGGGCTACAGAGGCCCCGAACGTATGTAAGCAAACATTCTAAGGACTTCTATGGGACAGGATATTGGTTTGATATTGAATTGTTTGGCTAGCTTAGTTCCTGGGAGTATAAATTGGAAGTAATAACTTATAATCAATATATAATTATTTTAATTTAATGCGAGAGTTTTTGTTCCTTTTGTGTAAAATCTTTACCCTTCATTTGGGCCCCCCGACAAATTTTGATACAGGACCCCTCTAAGGCACGCTACTCCACTGTTCAGATCTCTTATATTTAAGCGAATACAACTACACATTGAATAAAACCACTGTTAAGGATTTTTAACCAACTTCAAAAAGGAGGAGGTACTCAATTCGGCTGTATTTTTTTTTATGTGTTACCTCATAACTTTTTTCTAGATGAACCGATTTCGATGACTGATTTTATTTGAAAGCTAGTGCTTCTCATGTGGTCCCATAAAAATGTGACAAAGGTCTGACCATTAGTTTTTCAGTTATATTTAATAATTTTTATTAAAGTTGCCTGGTACAAAATTTTAAATTTTACCACTTGATCACGTTGAAATCTACTAATTTTTTTATTAACCCTTACGCAAACAGAAGGGTGTTATAGGTTTAACGTGTGTATCTATGTGTCAATCTGTGGCATTGCAGCTCCAAAACCGATGAACCCGATCTAAACTTAGCCTTTTTTGTTTGAAAGGTGACTTAATCGACTGTTCTTAGCTGATGATTCAAGAAAATCTTTTCAGCTGGTTGAAGATCATCAGCTCTTTTTATTACGGAGGTTTCTTTTTTAAATTTTCTACTTAAAGTTACAATTCCCGATTCGATGTTTCGGGTGCTTAGCAGCACCCATGGTACCCCGTGACCGTATGAACAGCTTCAATTTAATTCAGTTCGTATTTTCAATGGAAGTAACATGCAGTAGTTCATTAAGGCGACACCGCGAAAAAATGCACCTCCTTTCATCGAATAGTATAGGAGTATGACATGACTAACGAAACTGTAATTTCGATATAAGTAAATTCATGTCTTTATCTTGAATTTGCTTGTTCAAAAACACGATTGTAAAATTTTGACTCGATCATAATTCTTTGCGAAAACACCTGTAAAAAATCACTATAGTTGAAATTACAACGAAATTACTTAATCTATATGCTTGGGAACCACTCGAATACATTCATAACATCAATATTCGTAATTTACTTGCTCATTATTTTGATTACTAAAATCAATAATTTATTTAAAAAAAATTAAGATTCTATGCGATTTCTAAGGCGTCTTCATCGTCGCGGGCGCTACGCAATTTTAGACCTTATGGACGGTGTTTTTGAAGTTTTAATAGAAATTATGTTTCACTCGGGTCAGTCTCTTCGCCAACCGCATGTCCGGTGGCTCTGATGAGGACGATGTCGTCATCAACGCCATCAAGACCTTCGACGAGGAGGGTAAAATCTACTCGGAAAGGTTGTGGCACGCGCTCATGACCTGGGGCGATAAGTTAACTTCCGATGAGGTTGACGAGCCCTACGACCAGATGGAGATCGACGACAAAGGCTTCATCGACACCCAGAAACTCATCACCATGCTCACCACCAATGCTGAAGATGAGGAGGGCGGCGAGGCCGCGTAGATTCCATCAAAAATGAAACACCTAAGCCAGGAGCTGCAAGCAGTCACACCCGGTCCATTCGGTTCCGACAGAACGGATTAGCCGATAGACCGCTTCAACGGTTTTCGATGTGTCGCCTTAAACTAAACTCACCGTCGTGTATCAGCTTGTGGGTGTTAAGCGAATACGTCGTGTTGAACGCTTTGTTGCACACTTTACACTTGTACGGCTTGGCACCTGCAAAGTGAAAGTCAAAATGATTTTTTTTTTATAGAATCGAGTGACAAACGAGCACACAATCCACCTGATGGTAAGTGGTTGCTGTGGCCCATGGACATCTACATTTATCTTCGTTTGCGAATGAAAACGCAGATGCGTTGTCACTCGTGAGGACTAAGATGGAATGCCTCTTTTCCAGTAAAAAGGGTCTCCGGTTCTCTACACTCACCATACGAAACACAGCAGTGTTAAACTGCTATTTGACGCTGGTATTCTGTGAGAGCATGGTCCTTCCCCGGTCGAGCCGACCCATTCGTGCTACAACTATACTACTAATATAGCTGCAGCGTGGCTCTACCACGTAAAAAATGATGCAAAGAAGTCCAATGTAAGTTAATAGAATCATACATTAGTGGAATATGAAGTAGAGGTGTGTCCATTGTAACACATTGTGACTAAGCTCACGATACCACGCATATCATCTGGATGCTTGGCGGTCCACTACTGTGCAATTTTTTTATAGAATTAGGGTTACTAACGAGCACACAGTCCACCTGATGGTAAGTGGTTGCTGTGGCCCATTGACATCTACATCTATCCTCGATTACAAATCAAAATGCAGATGCGTTGTCACCCGTGAGGACTAAGATGGAATGCCTCATTTCCAGTAAAAAAAGGGTCTCCGGTTCTCTACACCATACGGAACACAGCAGAGTTATGCTGCTATTTTACGCTGGTATTCTGTGAGAGCGTGGTCCTTCCCCGGTCGAAGTCCTAGACTCATTTACGAATCAAAATGCAGATGTATTGTCACCCCTGATGACTAAAATAGAATGCCTTGTTACCAGTAAAAAAGGTTATTCCGTTCTCTACATTCAACACAAGAAACACATCAGCAATAAGCTGCTATTTTACGCTGGTATTCTATTTCAAATATATTAAGCAACCCAGGTTCATTTCCCACTGGCACCAATGAAATTGTTAATTGCAATTTTAAGTGCTAATTTACCGCGTGCTCGGCGGTGAAGGTAAACATCGTAAGGCAACCTACATGTCTGAAAAATAAGAAAAAATAATAATTCTAAGACATGTGAAGTTCACCAACAGCACGGCGGATACTTCCTTCCCCTAAAAATCCTCTCAGAAATGAGAGAAGGCCTGCGCCCAGCATTGAGACGTGTATAGGCTGTAACTTTACTTTTAATTTCATTAGAAATAAGTTTGCTTCCGTGCGGACGGAATGTAGATACTAAACTATATCACGCATACTCACCCGAATGCACCAACATATGATCCAACATCTTCGACTTGAAATGGAACATCTTTCCGCACACCTCGCAGGGAATAGTGGGTGCAGTGTGTGCTCTCCTCACATGTCTGCCCAAATATTTGGCAGTCTTCCCGGCGTATGAGCACAGCTTACAGTTATAAGGTGTTTCGGTGGTGTGAATGCTCTTGTGTGAACGCAGTGCGTCTTTTTCAAAGAATCTCTGTCAAAATTATTATAATTTTAATAACGTCTTCCTGGCCGAATTTCGATGATCATGGCGGCCAGTCCCAACTGATACTAGGCATCAGCGTAGGATGGGAATATAGTGCACGAGTGTGCACAAACAAAGGTACTCTTTTTTTATACGATAGGGTGACAAAGGAGCACACAGTCCACCTGATGGTAAGTGGTTGCTGTGGCCCATAGACATCTTCATCTATCCTTGTTTGCGAATCAAAATGTAGATGTGTTGTCAGCCATGAGGACTAAGATGGAATGCCTCTTTTCCAATAAAAAGGGTCTCCGGTTCTCTACACTCACCATACGAAACACAGCAGTGTCAAGCTGCCATTTTAAGCTGGTATTCTGTGAGAGCGTGGTCCTTCCCCGGTCGAGCCGACCCATTCGTGCTACAACTATACTAATAATATAGCTGCAGCATGGCTCTACCACGTAAAAAACTACTCTCTCTATTTCTCTCTCTACCTCTACCACGTAAAAAACTACTCTCTCTATTTCCTCACTCTCACGACAAGCCGACACAACCAGAGAGAGATCAGTCACAGGACCAAAGGCTTTACGTGCTGGTGAAACATTGCCCACTATTGTATTTTACTGATAACAGTCTACTGTTACTCTGCTGTTTCAAAATTGCGCATCAAGAGTTCCGTACCATCGTAAAACACGTTTCTAGTAGGGGGAGCCCCCTTTAATTTTTTAACTGTCTACCTACTACGGATCATGAGATACAGCCCCAGCAGACAGACAGACGGACAGACAGCGGAGGCTTAGTAATAGGGTCCCGTTGGTTACCCTTTGGGTATGGACCCTAAAAAAGCAAATAAACATGGCACACCAAGTTATTAAAATTACCTCCCATACTAAAGATCTCTTAAATACCGAAATATTTTTACAAAATATGTCTTGGGGGATACATTAATATATTACATATTCTAAGTGTAAGACTATTTTAGAAACATTGTTATTTATTAATGGTATGCTAAAGAATAGAGAAACTTTATAGCACAATCTATCCAGAATTCTGCTGTCAAATCTAATAGCTTTTACACATGGTAGTGCCACTCTGCAGCTATATTATAGTTGTAGCACGAATGGGTCGACTCGACCAGGGAAAGACCACGCTCTCACAGAATAGCAGCGTAAAATAGCAGCTTAATGCTGCTGTGTTTTATATGGCGAGTGTAGAGAACCGGTGGATCCTTTTTACTGGAAACAATGCATTCCATCTTAGTCCTCAGGTGTGACAACGCATGTTATGACAATGGGCCTCAAGTCATTCTTACCATCAAGTGAACTGTGTGTGTGCTTCTTGAAATAATTTAAAATTAAAAATTTTGTACAGCCGACTTCAATATAAGTTATTAAGAATAACTCAAATAACTCAAAAACTATTGGTCTGACCTTGATCAAATTCATATGGGACCACACGAGAAGTATCAGCTTTCATATAAAAATAGAATCATCGAAATCGGTCAACCCAGTAAAAAGTTATGAGGTAACACACATAAAAAAAAATCATACGCGTCGAATTGAGTACCGTCTCCTTTTTTGAAGTCGCCAGAAAAACACTAGAATTCGACAAAATTATACGATTTTCCATAGATAAAGCTTTGTCAGATTGTACACTTGTAAATGTATCTGATATATGGATCTGTACCTAAAACTTGTACCGTAATCCAAATGCAAATTTAATTTAACTAAGCAATATGATACTTTGAAGCATGCAAGTTATGGTCGTTTTTAAATTAGGCACTTATATCAATTTGTCACAATGCAAGGTTCCAAAATTTTGATTCAATGAAAACAAAAAAGCAAGTAATTTGCCCAGCCCTGAGTATAGTGAACAGATACCAGTATACAACATGTAACAAAAACCCTGTGGTTCCCGTTAAGTACATTATCAGGATCACTATTCAAATCTATAAAAATAACTTATTTTTAAAAATGCGAACAATATTATTTTTTTATTTTATTTAAAAAAATTATTGTATGCAAATTGTATGTGGTTTTATTACCTCTGCATTGTCTGGGGAGTAAGAGGATTGTCAAACACCCCGCTTTACTTAGCTTTAGCATCGCCTAGTGTCAGTAAGAGGTAATAAAACAACATAAAAATAAAAAATATTTTTTTAAATAAAATAAAAAAATATGGTCGAGTTTTTTAAAAAAAAAAGTTATTTCTTTAGGTTTGAATACTGATCCTGATAACGTACTTAACGGAAACCTCAGGGTTTTTGTTACATGTTGTATAAACATGGCTTATAAATTTTTAACATTGTATCAATATTGATGTATATTTATATAAATGTATCAATATATGCACAGACAATAACATGTCTTTAAAAAATCAAAACTTGTGTTTTGGGAAGAATGTTAGACATGGCTCACACTTGCAACAGTTTTTTAATTATATATTTAATTTATAGTTATGATATTAGATTAAAAAAATAAATACATGAAATTCATACCTTTTTGCAAATATTACATTTGTACTCATAATTTGCATTTTTGTTGCACTTTTTAATCTTTTTAGATGTCTCCATCCTTTTGTTTATTATGATATTATTATTGCATTTAAAAATACCTAAAACAATTCAATATTTATAAATTTTACATGGTAAAACTATTTTTTTTTTACAACCGACTTCAACATAATTTTTTTTTTTTATAGGAGAGGGGGCAAACGAGCATGCGGCTCACCTGATGGTAAGTGACTACCGCCGCCCATGAACAACTGCAACACCAGGGGAATCGCAGATGCTTTGCCGGCCTTTTAAAAAGGAGTACGCTCTTTTCTTGAAGGTCCCTAAGTCGTATCGGTCCGGAAAAATCGCTGATGGTAATCGATTCCACAAGGAGGTCGTGCGAGGAAGAAAACATCTTCTAAATCGCACAGTGGTGGGCCGCCAATCATCCAGATGGCGGATAAAATGAGAACATCGTCAATGTAGTTGAAGTTAATTAAATACGAATTATTAAGGATAACTCAAAAACTACTATTCAAATTTTGATCCAATTTATATGGGATCACATGAGAAGCACCAAATAAAAAAAGAATCATCAAAATCGGTTTATCTAGAACAAAGTTCTACGGTAACCCACACAAACAAAATATAAATATAGTTGAATTGAGAACCTCCTTTTTTTGAAATTGGTTGATTACAGTGTTCACAGTATGTAAGCACCGTTCACCACATAGTTGGGTAAGACTAGCCACTAAACTATATCAACCCAAAGGTGATGTAAGAGGCAACAGAGGGGAATCAACCAGGAAATGGGCAGCAGCATCTTCCTAATAACAACCAGAAAATAAAATCACCATTCACCAACCCAAATGCAAAGCTTGGCAACTATGGCAATATTAAGGGGGATATTGTTCAGAAGTGGACTTTAATAGGCTGTAATGGATGGATGTATAGAAGATAATCTACCAGGAGCACATGACCCACTGAGAGGTGAAATTATTAACTCAATACAACTATGGCAAATATCCCCCCTATAAGGCAATCTATGGGGGGGACTTATGTTCAGCAAGTGGACTTTAATAGGCTGTAATAGATGGATGTATAGAAGATAATCTACCAGGAGCACATGACCCGCTGAGAGGTGAAATTATTAAATCAACACTTACATTACAACTATGGCAAATATCCCCTCTATAAGGCAATCTATGGGGGAGACTTATGTTCAGCAAGTGGACTTTAATAGACTGTAATAGATGTATGTATAGAAGATAATCTACCAGGAGCACATGATCCACTGAGAGGTGAAATTATTAAATCAACAGTAACATTACAACTATGGCAATATCCGCGCTGTAGGCCGCGTTTTCTAGATAGACCAGTTACGCGTACCGAACGTGCTGCTTTTACACCAACATGTCGAGCACTAAGAAATCGAGCATTAACACTTATAGGCGACATACTCACTCAGCACAATGAAATTGACCTATTTGCAGACATTATAACACGTCTGCTGACTCTTTTTTTATACAATTATTGATGACATGACATTTAATAATTCGACAATTTAATTTCATTGACTATGTACTAATTAATACTTTATATTTTATATGTAATGTTAATTATGGGCATATTAGTTGCATTATAAATTGATGTGACAAAATATTTCATTGTATATTTACACAGGGGAACAGCATTTTTGTTGCATGAAGTATTATGACTAATATTATACTTTCTCGGAATGCTGATTTTAGATCGGAAGTCAGATTGTTTGTCTCAGCTTTAGTTTTTGAGATAAGAAAAAACTATTTTTTTATTAAAAAATCCATTAGAAAAAAACCGGCCAAGTGCGAGTCGGACTCATGCACCGAGGGTTCCGAACAAATCCGTAGGTATATAAGTTTAAAATTATTAAAAATATTTTTATTATATGATGTAACTAAAAATTTATGCTTTTCGCAATTTTTCCTTTATCCGTGCCCTGTAGGTTTTGATTCCCTTGCGAATATCGAAAATTTGCGGCATAAACGGCTGTATCTTTTGATTACTTTGGCTTAGAAGTTTGATTTTTTGATTTTCACAGCTCCAAGGGACAGTAGACTTGAGTATTTGATATGAATTTCAGCTTGATACCTCCAAGCGTTCCTGAGAAACAGGGTCTTGACAGACAGACAGAAGGACACCAAAGTAATCCTATAAGGGTTCCGTCTTTCCTTTTGAGGTACGGAATCCTAACAATCACTACTTATCAAAAAAAATTCTTTTATAAGATTTTCTTGCTTGACTTGGTTCACGAGGGCTGTGTTTAATGCTCCGACAGTAGTCCGACATCATGTGAGCATTCCAGTGATCCTGGTAATGTTCCTCCAGTTCGGAAGTCTTGATGGAACCGTTCCCCTTACTCTTCACTCAGATCACCAAGATTTTCAGGGAAACAGTCCAAATGGCTGCGGAGTAAGTGTACCTTGATGCTCATATTACAACCAAGCTGCTGGTAGTGTGACAACATCATCCTTCTGTAATCCCATAGCTTTCAACAAACCATGAACATCAGAACAAAACACAAAGTCGTCATCTTTAGAAAAGAATGAGAGCAGTACTGTCTCTCGGTTACGGTAGTATGAAATTCTTGTTTCTTGGGTCAAAAGATTTCTTTGCTTTAATCGAGAAGCTAGAATCTCCGATGCTTTTTTAGAAAGACGGAGGTCTTCCTGATTAAAGGGCTGGGGCTCAGAAGAAATATCTGGGTTCAAATCAGTTGACCCACTTTCATCAGTTGAAGAAATTTTTTCTTCTAACTCGTGATCATTTTGTGTAAATGAAGAAGCTTGGGGTACTGGCGCATCGCCGGAGTACAGGTCTGGTCGAGTAACAGATAACAAATTATTAAATTAAAGTCATTTCGACCGGTTTCGTTTGTTAATACGGTTTCTATAACCCACACAAAACTAACAATGATCTTGATGATTGGAGGGTTCCCGCCACATCATTGGTGTTTGATACTTACAATGGGGTCATTTCTTATTCGCCCATAATCTCAAAGACTCCACACATATTTTACATACCGTATGAGGGACCCAGTACTTGTCACGGGTGTCCAAAGCGAATCCAAAGTAAACAAAATACACCTGTTTTATGAACTCCGACACACTGACTCTAAATGTATATTCACCACAAATGTAACAAAAATAGTTGGGATCGTTTTTACAGATATTTCTCGACGTGGACATTGTTAAACAAAAAACTTTTTTAAAAAACAGTTCAGTTAATTTGAAGTTTAAATGTAACTAGTACAAAAATATGTCCGATAGCTGAATCTCAAAAACTAGAGCTGCTAATGAAAAAATGAATATAGGTAGATTTGAAATCAGCGACCTGAAATTAGTAAGCAATAGACATAAAATTCCATGCAACAAAAAAAAGTTAAATTTTGTTTTACTTTATTGTTTTAATTGGCTTTATTAAACACAAACACTCACTCCTGTCACCCAGAGGGGTTAGACAGAGACTACGGACTTCCATTTGGCGCGATCCTGACACACCTCTCTCGCCCCCTTTGAAAAAAAGGAATGCTTCGGTGGTTTGGTCACGTAGAAAGAATGAACGAGGAAAGACTGACAAAGCAAATTTATGTTTCAGAAGTGAAAGGCAGAGTCGGGAAGGGAAGCCCTAGACGAAGATTTATCGACCAAATTGGCGATACATTGAAAATGGGCCAGATTAGGAGTACCCTTAACCAACGAGCGTGTATGCGTAGATATGTATATGGCTTTATTACCGTTTTAATTTCTTGACACGGGCTGCTAAAAGCTTTGAGACTTTATATTATTCTAATTTTATAATTAATTAGTGTATGATTATTAATTTTTGTTGTTATGGATGGATACAATTTTTGAAAATTATTTTTTTGCATGTAATATTTAACCTTGTGTTGGATTTCCTGTAAGCCACAAGTTTTTTGAGTGAAATAAATAAATATCAGGAGGGATATTGTTCAGCAGTGGACTTTAATAGACTGTAATGGATGGATGTATAGAAGACAACCTACCAGGAGCACATGACCCACTGAGAGGTGAAATTATTAAATCAACAGTTACATTACAACTATGGCAAAATCACTTCTTTTAAATAATAATGTTTATCATTTTAAAGTTACCATTACAGCCTATTTAAAGATGACTGCTGAACATAAACCTCCCTAATAGATTGCATCATAGGGGGATATTTACCATAATTGCCACGCTTGGCAAGCAGGTTCTCTTTCTCTTAGAATGTTACCCCCCACACTAGGATTTAGTGGAGAGATGTTGCAGGGAATACGACTTAAATGTCAATGCAAATAAAACGGTTCTAGTAATGTTCACACAAAAACGAATGCTGAATAATTATCACCTACCACGTCCTTTCAGCACAAAACTCCAGCTATCCTAGGAGATAAAATATTTAGGTCTTATCTTGGACAGCTAACTTAATTGGAATAAATACATACAAAACAAAATCAACAAAGCTAGTATAACTTTCTGGCAATGCAGAAACATGATTGGCAAAAGATGGGGTCTGACACCAAAAATCATACTGTGGCTGTACAAAACTTTCACTTTAGCCGCCATCAGTCTAAAGACCATAAATCTTTGGAGTAAGAATAGTGTCCCTCATACAGGCATAATTGATAGAATTCACTCAAAAATTCCTATCTTACAAGCCAAGTACGATAAGATTCCCAAACAATTTGTATTCGATAAGATGTACAAGATTCAATCAAATGAAACCAGCCAGCCGGAAGGATTAAGCCCAAAAGAGCTTAGAGTTTCCACCGATGTTTCTAAAACAAATTAAGGTATAGGATCTGGAACTTTCTCTGAAGACCTCAATATCCACATATGCACACTGCTGGGTACCTATAACAGTCTTTCAGGCGGAATCCGACACTATTCCGAAGATATTCCGGACGTCAGTCTGAGCGAGATTAGAATGGCTCTCCAGCACCTTGAAAATGGCAAGGCCCCAGGCGAGGATGGAATTACAGCGGAGCTTCTGAAAGCGTGTGGAAGACCGGTACTTGAAGTCCTTCAGAAGCTCTT